AACTTCACACATTTAATGACACCCAACATGCTATTTCTCAGAGCTACTCTAAACTGAATTAAATAAAAGAACATGATTGAAGACCAATGAGATGGCTCAGCAGGTGAAGCGTTTGCTGCAGAAGGGTGGTGACCTAAGTTTGAGCCCCAGAATCCACACAGGAGGAAGGAGAGAACCAGCTTCACAGAGATACCCTCCTATACATTATCACTGCCCATTCGTGCACTCACATTCACACACACACACACACACACACATACACACACACATACACACACATATACACATAACACACACCATACACATATACATACAAATGCACATACACACACATATACACACACCATACACATACCATACACACATACACACCACACACGCACACACCCCACACACATACATATACCCCCACATACCCCACACACATATACATACACACATACACACACACCACGCATGTATACATACACACTACATATATACACACCACACACACCACACACACATACATACACACCCCACACACATATACATACACATACCGTACACACATACACAGCACATGTATACATACACACTACACACACACAAACATACCATACACACATACACACACACATACACCCCACACACATATACATACAGACACACACATCATACACATACCATATACACACACCTCACACACATACCATACACACATATATACACACACACACGCATACACACCACACACACACACCACACACCCCCACACACATATACATACACATACACACATCATACACATACCATACACACACATACCTCACACACATACCATACATACATACATACACACACACACACACATACCACACACACACACACACTGACGAAAAACATGGTGACATATCCCTTTAATCCCAGCACTTGTAAGTAGAGGCAGACGGATCTTTGCGAGTCCCAGGTCACCCTGAGGCCAGTCAAAGCTACACAGTGAGAGCTAGTCTCATAACAAAACCAAATCACAATAGTTAACAGGAATACACATGTTTTAAGAAAAGAATGTAAATGAATTTCACAAACTAAAAAGGATTCAATGCAGATAATTTAACAACAATAATACCAAGGTATCACATTTTGATATTGGCAGCTTGTAACAAGCAGGAATTTGAATGCTAGTGAACACGGGCCTTTCAAAGTATACATGTAACTCTTGGTGTCTCTACCCTAAGAGGTGAGCATCTGCCTGATACAATCATCTCTAGATTATCTAGGGCTGATTAGGAGGTTTCTTAATCCTTGCACTCAGGAGGCAGAGGCAGGGCAGAGCGCTGGGTCCAGTCTGGTCTACGGTCTATGTAGTAACTTCCAGGGCTACATTAAGAGCCTATGTCAATAATAATAATAATAATAATAATAATAATAATAATAAGCCCCACAACCTTTATGGGGCTAGGGGTGTGGTTCAGAAGTTAGAGCACTTACTGCTCTCATAGAAGACCTGAGTTCAATTCTCAGCACCGCATCAAGAGATCCACAGCTGCCTGTAACTCTAGCTCCAAGAGCTCTGACACGCTCTTCTGGACTCCTTGGCTGTACACACATTCCTCAACACAGGCACACACACATAATTAAAAACTAAAAATAAATTTTAATATTCTCATCTTAGGGAAAGTGCTGAGGGCATGGTTCAGTGGACCAGGTGCCTGGTATCCAAGGATGAGGAGCTGAGCCTAGATCCTCAGCAGAAAAGCTAGGCGTACTGGCATGTACCTGTAACCTCAGAGCTGGGCATGGGGAAGTAGAGAAAAGATGGCTGGATCCCCAGAGCTTGCTGGCCCAGCTACTCTAGCCAATCAGTGATTACCAGGCTCAGTGAGAGGCCACTGTCTCAAAAAGAAAAAGAAAAGAAAAAAAGATGTAGAGCAATTAAAGAAGACACCAAATAGAAACCTCTGGACTTTCCCTTGCACATGGGCACACACACACAGGCACACGCACACAGGCACACACCACCACCACCACTACCAAAATTTAAAAATAAAATTCATTCAACAAATACTAGAGTAGATCACTTTGCAAGCACAGGAAACCCACTGCTCCCCCAGCCTTGTTACCACCGCCTCCAAAATTGTACAGGACACCAGCCACATCCACAACCTGATTCTGAAGCCCTGCTCACCCAGCTGCTGCCGTAACAATTGACTGATCTTATCCCAGCTAGCACAAGACTCAGCAAACTGTGGTCCCTGGACAAAGCCCGACCCAGCACACCTATTTTAATTATCATTGTTTGGTAAATAGGGTTTTATCAGAACAGAGCCACACTCAATGATGCATGCGGCAACTAAGGATGTGTTCCTGCTACAGAGCTAGGTACTGTGAGAGGCACTATGGCTCAGGAAGTCTACGGTACCATCCATCTCTTCATAGGAAATGAAACGTTTACTGACCTGGCCCTAGTTACAGAATCAAGGGCTGTCTCTCTGCCTGGGGAGACCTCAAAGGCAGAGAACATTCTTGGATCCTGTCTCACGGAGATAGACAGGGCCAAGGGTTAGAGACACATAGAAAAGTAAAGATGTCCTTCCCTACACTCTGTTTTCCACAGATGAGTGCCTTGGAGTTCCACAGCAGACAGCTGAAAACCACTGGTGTTTGGTTACTCTGGCTTCTAATTCCTCTGCGTTCCTCCGGCTCAGACTTCCAAGGCTCAGTTTTTGGCCTCTATCCTTTTGCATATTTATTTCCTGATCTGGTGTGGAATTCGAGTTAAATAGAAGCTGTGTGCTTGAATGCCACAGGCTGGCTCCACAGGAAACTCCAGCGCAGGTTCTCTGGCCTCCCTAGTGCCAGCCTCAGCTATGCTAATTCCTCAGGCTGTTTTCTCTGCTCAGATAAAGCTAGCGACATATTTGCATTTGGGTGCACACCTTTCTGTGCATGAATTATGTGCATGAAGACTCTAGTGCAGAATTAGGAAAAGGAGGTGTGGGGAGGTGCGGGGGAGGTGTGGGGGGTGCAGGGGTAAAGGTATAGTGTATGCTAACTTCCATGTCATAGCTGTCCAGGCACCAAGTGTATACTTTCTCATCTCTGCAACTATCCCATAAGGTAGGACTATAAGCCCATTCCATAAATGAGGAAACTGAGAACCCCCAAGGGTCCAGTTTAGTTGACTCTCTTGGTCATCTTGTGGAGTCCCTATCTGCTCCAGGTTCCTTGATACTTCAGATCTCCTAGAAACTGAACCACCAACCAAAGAACATACATGGACTTGATCTAAGGTCCCCCACTCCCAACCCCCACCTCCACCCCTATCCCCAGCCCACACATACGTATGAGAAGTGCAGCTTGGTCTTTATGTGGGCCCCTTGGCACTGCAACGGGGCTTACCCTGACTCTGTTGCCTGCCTGTGGAGCCTGTTCTCCTAACTGCTCTGCCTTGTCTGGTCTCAGTGGGAAAGGATGCACCTAGTCCTGCAGTGACTTAAGGTGCCAGGGTGGGTTGGTACCCAGGGGAGAGGGGGGCAAAAAAGGGGGTGTGTGATGAGAGACTGGGAGGAGGGGCTGTGATTGGGTTGTAAAATGAATAAACAAATAAATTAATGGAAAAAATACTGAGGAACATGAAAGGAACAGAGCTGGTAGAACTCGCTCTCTTTCACAGAGCTGGTGAGGGGAAAGGCCAGGGTTAAACCGGGCTTCTCGTCTGAAGTCTGTGTGCTCCTGCTCCTGAATCAAACTCACTCAGCACTCAGCAGGAGCCCTCAAGTGCGTCCAGTTGGGAGCTCTACAGTTAGGAAGTTACCTACCCTTTCCTCACCAACTGGTTTATGCAAAATATATCTTTGGCCCTTGGGAGATAAACAGGGGTCCTCTCTGTTTCACCAAAGAATCAGCTGAAGGAAAATCGGAGCTCACTAATAAGGGAAATATTATATGATATACCAATTATGTTAGCAATTAGTACTAGCAATGATTTTAATGACAAATGAGTTTTAATTTAATAATATATCCACTGATCTCCGTATGATAGGTCAGTTTTATTTGTTAAACTACAGTAGGCCAACAAGAGAATGTGGCCAAAACTATGAAGGAAAATCTTAGGACAATAAAAATTCCATGCGTAACACACACTGAGGCATTTGTACCTGAAAATGCTCTCACTGTTAGAGAAACACAAACGTCTGTCCTCCCGAATACAGCGTTAGTGTTAGCGTGTTACACTAAACACTGCTGTTACACCACAGTACCTGTCAATATTCAATTCCGTACACATAAAAATAATAATAAAAACAGAGCATTCTAGCATAACTCCCACATTTTGCAGCAAGCCGGACAAGAGTTTTATTGACAGGCTCTCTTCTCACGGACTCTGTAAGCTACAATGAACACCCTCGTGCTCAACTCCCTGTCACTAAGGCCTAATGCGCAGTCAGCTCATTCTCTGGAAATATAAAGCAACCGGTTATATTTTCACACAAGTAAAACTCAGATTTTAGGTGCTCGGAGACAGCTTTCCAGGAATTAAGAAGAATTCTGTAGAGGTGGTGCATAATATAACTTGTTTCTTGAATGGATTTAGGGCAGGCATGTTTAGGAATATGTCTGCCATGTCTTTTGTAAAATTATTCCTTTCCTCAGAAAACCCCCAAAAGACCTGGCCCTTCCTTATGCATCACCCCGTTTGATCATGCTATTCATACTTTCAGGTTGATCATTCATTGTATTTATTTTATTCTTAAAGCAAAAAATACAAAGTAGGTGACTTCAGAAAAGGGAACTTTCTTTTTCGGAGTCTAGAGGTAGAAAAGGTTTGGAGTCCACGGAACGCTACAGCCCAGGCAGAAGTGGGTAACACCAGTAGTACTCTAAGTGATATGTGTAGTGTACCAACACGTATCTACAGCACCCTTCAAACATCTCTGTTTAAGTTAAGTCTTTACTGTTTTATCTTAAGACAGTGACAACTGGCACAGATCATCATGGATGGCAATCCCAAGTGTGCTTACCTGCTGGCGGCTTTATGAAAGGCGGTGGGATTAAAGGGACAATAATAGGCACATTGCCATGGTCCTTTGACCCTGCAGGTGAGTCACTGAGTCCATTCCCAGTGGCAAGGCCTGAGTAGCCTGTGCTTATATTGTAAGATGAAATAACACTGTCCTCCGGTAATTTTGGTTTTGGCAAAGAATTTTCTGTAAGAGAAAAAAAAATCACCCAATATAACCAAGAACTTATTCATCACACTCAAATCTTCCCTTATTTCTTCAAGTACATTGGTTATGTAACAGAACAAAATCTTCCTTTCAAGCCTTTCAGCAATTTCCCAGAACTCCACTGTCCTTCCTGAAGCTTCAGAGTTTGGCTATCAACAGTTTCCAATGGGCTTTTCTTTATAATATGCTCTGCTGTGATAGCCAATATCCCAGGTGAATCATGGTGATGCATTTCAGCACTGTAAGATCCCATAGAAAATTGACAGGCAACTAACATTTTCTGTGTATGAAGTGATCTAAAGCAAGCATCATACTCTGGCTATGGGAGAAAGCCCAAAATGCAGCCCAGAGTGGCAACTATGTCCCCTGTGTTCTAAATCTAAGCCATAGTATAATCAAATAAACCAATGATTTTAAAAGCTACTATTGTACTGGGTATTGGTAATATTAATAATATTTATTAATGATTGGTAATGATATTAATATTGTTAAAAAATGAACAAAAGTGGAAATCAAATTTACAACATAGTTCATTTTATATCATACATGCACACATACACACGCACACACACATACATACACAGAATCTCAACCCTCAGAGAAGCACGGGACTCTTCCCATGTTCCCCAGAGGCGAAGCGGTTCACCCAGGTGAAGTGGATCACTGGGGCTCTTAGCGCATACACTATAAGCTCAGGACTTGCATTTTTCATTTACAGTGAAATTGATGATACTATCTTCATAGTGTGATGTGTACAATTTCATAGCAAGCTTAACATACAATTTGTCATGTACATTCAATTCCGCATGCCTGCAGGACGGCTCACTTACATCCCGTTGCCTGGCACGTAAAAAGAAAAAGCTCTCGCTTAAAAGCTGGGAGTTAAATCTTTGACCACGTATTATGCCGATAGCTTTGGATACACACAAGCACGGAGCCAGCAGGCAGTGAGGAGGAACAGTTAGCTGTACCCACAGTTTACTAAGACTCCTTCACATGCCCCTCCTCTCCTATCTTATATCTCGTTCCAAATTTAGGTTTACTAATTCTGGAGTCACACAGGCTCCCTGCTCAGGTACGCGCACGGCTGTTCACTCAGAGTCAGCAGGGCTCTGCACGGCCCTTCCTCTACACTCTCCACACCCTAGCTGGACTTTGATCTGATTATCTACAATTTGGTCTTCTTCCCCTCTGTGAGAGCATGGAACAGCGGAAGACGGAAAACCTGACTGACAGACAGAGTGAAAACAAGACTTCCTTGTAGAACCCATCCACACTTAAGGAAGGAGGGCTCCCAAGAGAACCACGAACCCCTCCTGCCATCCGAACATACAGACCCAACACTGCACTTCACAGGAGGCCCAGCCCTGGTAGGGCATCAAACGGACAAAAAGCTCGAAGTCAGCAAACACTGACTCCCTGAACTTGTAGCAGGACACAGAGTTAAGGCCCTCAGCCCTGGGCTGCTTTTCCCATTGCTGGAAGGAGACAGAGCAGTGGCTATTTTTGTTTTCTGTTGAGCTCCGGTGTTCTGTGGAACTCTGCTTATAGGAAAGTACAACTGGGCTACATTTAAAGAAGCCCTTCTGAAACCCTTCCACTCCCAACCCCCTTTGACCCAAGCCATTTCTACACAACACTAAGGGTACAGGTAAATAAAATAGGTGTACAAATCAGACATTTGCTGATAATATATCATAAACAAATGACCTAAAAAGACAATTCCACTATAATTATACATGTAAGTTTGCCCCTTATTAAAAAGGAAGACAAGTTTGTTTGTATGTCACCGCAATAGACGTACTTGTAAAATTACACATAGAGAAGCGAATCTTGGCTAAATATCTGATAGTGTATGGTGTAGAATATCTTCAATATTTCTCAATGTTGATTTATATTTTGACTTATAGTCAGTCCTAAGAATGCCACTGTGCAGAATACATAGTATAAAATGGCAGGGATATGCATGTGTAAAGTTATTTCATAAATTATTAGAAATTCTGTCCTAATCACAATCCAGAAATCCATCTAATAGTAAATCTAAAACTATATTAATTTGGTACTTGCATACTGAGGAATGACATTAGAAAATATTAACTCTTTGCTTTTAAGAGATTACACTTCTGTAAGAGCAGGGAAGTTTGTATGCATGCTAAGAACACTGCACTTTATATAACATACAATAGTCTTGAATCGAAACTAAGCTGTTTTGGGTTGCATGTTCAGATCCAAGACCGCAGTGAAGTCGCATGATCCATCACCTGCACACACTGCCAGAAATACCTCGGGGACATTGCACATGGCAATTAATCTGGGGGCTACTGTATCTCCCCAGACTGTTTACTGTTGCCAAAGTGTGCACAACTCCCACACTTGTTACTCAGTATCATATGGTGTCATCACCCACAGCATGAGGAGCTTCAGCTTAAACTAAGTGTGTATAACACAAGGAGACACACAACGATTCAGCTCTGGCAGGTGGAGAAGGGTCATTACTCTTTGCACGAGCGAAGAGCCATCAAAGGTCTTTACCTTTGAGAACAGAAATGTGTTGCCGGCTTTCTCCATCAGTAGTGTAGCTTCTGAATTCAATATCTTCACCGTCTTTTAATTCAACTTTATCGTAGCCATACCAGCCAAGGAGTTCATTCATGGTGTTTTCTGCAAAGTTCTGAAAGAGAAGCATCAGCTGCTACTTAGAGCTGTGATCAATAACTATTTGAAAAGAAAGTACACGTTAAATTCTGTTAGCTGTATCCCGTTTCATGCCGGCCCCATATCCCCTTGAGGATTGCTCGCTTTTCAATCATGTTCAAGAGTTGTGATGCATTTAAGTCACAGACTGACTCTTCCGATCATGACAGGCCTTCAGATATTTGCAATTTAAGGACAATGAAAAAGTACTTGTCGGTTTCATCTACGGATGGGAAGTCTTGCTTTAGTATATTCTTCCACAAAGTTTAAGTTCTGCACTAGTACAAAAATATTAAAAGGAAGCATGCAAAGAAAAAAAAACTAAGAAAGGGTTTTAAAAATAAAAGAGCTTTCTGTAGGTCTAATTAATTTAAGTTAGAATTGCTTTTTTGATTCAGTGTTGTTACTTAACATGCTTCTTACTGCCAATAAAACAGTCTTAATAAAAAAAATAATAATAGTCTCTCATGTCAACCAGTATCATACCAAAAGATGAGTAGAGTTCTTGACAATTTTTTCCCTCTGCTAAGGTATTTATTAGCTTGATGAATACTTTGTTCTATAAATTTTATTAGTGACAGATTCATTCTATCATAAAAGAACCAACAAAGTTACTACTCAGCTGGATTTAAGATAAAAACTACTTTATGAACTATAGATTAAGATGTGAATGTAAGGTGTTGTTACTGTTGTTGGAGATATTAAGGTTTGAAAACAGTAGGTATGGTTGATGGATTAAATACATATGCCAAGTAACTGTGTCTAGTATTTTATCAATTCTAGATCCAGAAACAAAAGTGTAAAGCCTGTGTGTGCTACTGACCTTTATGCTTTAGACAGCTATCAAGCAGGGTACCATGAGCCTTCTGAACTAGAAATACCTATGTCCTTACTTCGTAGCGCAGAAGATCTCATTGTCTTTGTTGAAGCTGTTATTTCTGAATCCCACTGGGGTATATAATTTATACACCTAAATGAAACTCCAAGGCTGAGCCCAAGTGGGGGACCCTCAACATGTGTCCCATGTTCTCTGTATTAAGTCTGTGACTTCAGATCTCAGAAGGGTTTCATAAAAGATAGTACAGGACCACAGAAAGAAACCTTTCAAGCCACCCACAGGATGCTATAATTTTTCTCTTTAGAATCCACTTAAGTTCTGAGATCCAACTGGGTCAATCTGTGATGGTTTAATGCACTGTTAATTAAAAAAAAAATTAGCCAGATTGATTTAGTGCCACCATCCACGTAGCTAACAGCCAGCCGTATCAAACTTTAGTGAGGCATTTATTCTTTCTGATGGCTGCCCATGTCCACATTAAATAGACATTCTTCCATGAATGCATGATGATGATATGCTTGCTATGAATAATAAGCAAAGTGACTTCAGGGACAGACACCATGGAGTACTCAGTTAAATGCTACTCCATTTCATCAAAGGAGATTCCTTTAATGAGATGTCACTGTCTGCTAACACCCAATCCTTTCTCTAACCCAGCAGTGACAGCGTCCCAGCACACAAGGGTGATTCTTGCCTTGCGTCAAAATCAATCCCCGACAGTATTAAAAGCCGGGCTCAAGCCATCCTATTGGTCTGCTTGCTGCTTGCCCCAATCTCTAAAAGAATCGTGCCAACAAGACAGATGATCTTCTGCATAGTGGCTCCCAGGTACTACATCTGGTTTTGTGCACCCTTTCCTAGTCCAGGCTAGGAGGCTCGAAGTACCCTGCTTGATAAATGCAACTTCCCCACTGTGTCTAAGCTCTGCAGCCACACAAAGGCCACAAGTGCATAATTCATGTGTCAATTTCCCAGTGGAGGACGTAAATTCGTTTGTCTTAGTCCAGCTGCAAATCCATTCATCCCTTCAGAAGGACAGATGCAGAATTTTTAGACATCAGATAAAAATTGAAAATCTCCACTGGGTTATTATTAATAAAAGCCTATTATTTGAGCATTTTAACAAAAACAAAAAAAAATCGTTTTGTTCATGTTCTCTGATGGAAACTCATCACGGAACAGTCAGTATGAATCTGGCCTATTCCATGATTTTCAGGTTCCTATAAATGTCAGGGAGGTAACTATAAAATGTTTCCTTTCTTGTCACTGAAAATGAAAATAAATGCCATGCTGTTCTAATATATTGAGTGCAGGGACAGAAAACAACAGGCGTGAAAGTGTTAAGTATCAAACCATTTGAGAAAGGAGGAATTCAGTGAAAAGGAGAAATCGAATATATATAGTCATAAAAAATAGACTGTAGGAGCTAGAAAGATGGCTCAGCAGTTAAGAGCACAGGCTGCTTTTCCAGAGGACCAAGGTTCAATTCCCAGCAACCACAAGGGAGCGCACAACTGCCTGTAACTCCAGATCTAGGAGCTCTGGCGCCCTCTTTTGAGCCCTGTGGGTACTGCACACATATGAGACAAACATACATGCAGGAATCCATATATATGCAGAAAATAAATAATAAAATTAAAACGAAAAAGAGATAGGCTACAACCTCGGCCACACCCATAGTTTGTTAAGAAGTCAAATATCCCCAAGGAGTAAACCATTTAATAGAATAAGTTTCTATACAGAATTTAATATGCTAGATAGCATTATGTTGCTAAACCAAAGTAAATGAAATAGACTTTTACTACTGTCGTCTAACATTCCAGAGGAAGTAGACTGTGAAATGTTTATGGCCTAGACATGATTCCAAGCTTTAGTGTAGAGAATTCCAATAACTATTGTTTCAGCGTTAAACAAACAAACAAACAAACAAACCAGGGTCTCACCATGTTGCTCTGGCTGGCCTAGACCTCATGTAGACCAGACTGACCTCAAAGTCACAGAGATCTGCCTGCCTCTGTCACTGAGTGCTGGGATTAAAGGCACAGCTTGCTTCATGTTTCAAAGTTCTTATAATATTGTTCTTTAAAAACCAATTTTCAATTTAAAAGCCCTTTCTTATGAAGGTTTCTTATGTCCTTTCTTAGTCCTTTCTTGTGTTGTTTCTTGTTTATTTGTTTGTTTAAAAGGAGGCGTGGACAAAGATGATAATTAAAATTCTGAATGGCTGTAAATAACAATGCTCAGTATTAAGTGGTGATAGCTGCTGCTGTATTAAGGGTAGGGGCTGTGAAATCTGCTTCTGCCTCAAACCTTCAAGCAGTGTTTCTATTTGTTTCCTGAAGACACCTAAGGCATGAAACCTTTAAAAGTTCCTCAAGGGCTAGAGAAATGGCTCTGCAGTTAATAGTTCTTTTCGATCCTCCGGAGGACCCAAGTTCGAATCCCAGCATCTAAATAGCAACTAGCAACCATCTGAAAGTCCAATCCCTGGGAATCAGATGCCCTCTTCTGGCCTCCAAAGGCACCAGGCACATGTGTGATGCACAGACATACATGTATGCAAAACATCCACATGCATAAAATAAAAGTTCTGCAAAAGTTTCTTCTAGGTTTAGAATGATATGAAATAACAGAGCTTCTACTTATGTGTAAAAACCACACAATTTTTGCAAAAACCTCTCAAAATGATGGTGCTCACAGAACATAACTTTTACTGAGCAGTCGTTATTCCACATACTTTATCATTGTTCTCACAAACCACCAAAATGTGCCAAAAATTGCAGTATTTTGGCATCTGAATTGTATTTTGCAGACTGCTTCTTGCCTTTGGAAGTGACACAAAAATCCTCTCTCATGCCATGTGGTCCAATTTGGGTTTGGAAAATAGGTCACTAAAATTATAATGATAATTTCTAAGTCTTCGAGCAGCTTGCAGTGTTACCACATCCTTTAAATCTTGTGTTCCTTTCAATAGCCCTGCATGTTGGGTGTTTAGTTTCCACAATAAACTTGTGGTGAACTGAAGTGACATCCTCACTTGACAACAGAAGATTGCAACATGGCAGATCCTGAAACATCAGAAGCAAAACAGAGGTGTTTTCATTCTTTTTTTCTCTAATAGTTTTTGAAAAGTTCATACATTAGTTCCCACACGCCTCTTCTCTGTCCAATTCTTCCAGTACCCCCACTCCCTCTCAAATTTATTGCTTCTCCTTTAAAATTGTTACACATGTAAACATTTGTAAACACGCACTACTGGGTTCTTTCTGCTATTGTGCATGTGTTATATGTGCTTACAGATGACCTCCTAGGATCAGATACTATCAGAGGGCTTATCTATGGAGAAGACAGCTTCTCCTCCTCTAAACAGCTACTAACTGCCCGTAGCAAAGTGAAGACTTAGGGGCGGGGCCTTGTGAGAGTTCCTCCATTCATGTTAGCATGTCAACTGGTAGTGTCATTATGTGGGTCTTGTTCTGGCAACCACATTGTTGCAATTAATCTTCGGATCCTTACACCAGACTTAATTCTAGTATACATTCCGTGGCAAGGGGCCAGCAATTCCAAAGAATTTACCTCCTGGTTCAACCAAGAACTCACAATGATATCACACTGCAGGGTGTTGGTGTCCTGAAGTGATTTCCAAGCACAGCACGTCTACACCTGTGCCGTTGCACTTGATCCCTGGCCTAGAATCCCCTTAACTAGTTTGCATTATTGGAGATGGGAAGTGCAAAATCAACACTTAAAACTGAATCTTCTCATTCTTCAACTTTCTGACATCACACATGGCTGAGTGCTTTGCACTTCCAGTGGCCACCCCCACCTCTTTCTCCAGGCCCCTTGTTTCCGCCCCTTACCTCTAGGCCTTCTAAGGATAGATTGCAGCTCTGTCACTCAGTCTGAAGGCATGCTCTCATAAAGTTGATTAAGCCGCTAGGTCATAGAGATGATGGAGGAAAATTTTACTACTTCTTCATTCCTTGTCTTTCTTTGCCTTTTATTTGTGCATGTACGTGCACATGTGTATGTGTGTGCACATGCGTATGTGGACGCATGTATGTGAGAGTGTGTGTGTGTGTGTAGAACTGGAGGAAGTGGGAGTGGCCTCAGTTGCTTCTCCACATTATGTTTTAGAT